ATGCTCCGTTGGCTTTATTCCTTTTTTCAGACATTTTCGTGGTTTGCAAGAAATAAATGGCTTGCTAGGCCATTTAAGGACAGTTGAGATTGCTGACGCTCTGGAGTCACATGTAGACCAGACCAGGTAAGGACGGCAGATTTCTTTCCCTAAGGGACATTAGTGACCAGAGAGGTTTTTAGTGACCATTAACAATGGTTTCATAACGAAAACTGAGCTATGTATGCATCTTACACTGAAGTTAAACTCCGTACAGTATTACAGTGAAAAATGGAAGACAGGAAGCAGTAGGAGAAAATGGGTTATATTCAAAGTGACAATGTAGAAAATGGTATTCTGCAAGGAGGACTGGAACCACAGTGATAGTTTGCATTTGGGAATCCAAATGAGATTGGTTAGCTCAGTTGGCTGGGCAACCATTTTGTGATGTAGGATGATGCCAACAGAGCGCATTCAGTTCCCACAGCAGCTGATTCCATTGGTGAGGTTTTTAAACTAGTATGGTTCTCATCCCCCTGCCAATGTGTAGTCTTAACCAGTCTGATTTAGATCAGGAAACAGGAGATAGAATATAGAAAATTAGTGATGTAGTCAGCGATTTGGAAAGACAAAGAAATTAGGATTAAAAAGCGCCCAGCAAAAGAGATTGACAGGATTGAGTTGTTTAAAATTCAATGCAAAACAACATTACAAACAAGGCAGCTGAACTGAGGGCCAAGATAGACGCATGTTGGCATGATGTCATTGCCATAACAGAAACCTTGCTAAAGAAGGGGCAAAATTGACAAATCAATTTCCCTGGATATAGAGTTTTCAGGGTGTGGAGCGGGTGACAGAAAAGGCAGGGGTTAGCAGTACTGATTTAAAAATTATATATAGTTGGGAGAAGGGGTAATTATGCTAAACGGGTTAAGAAATGGGTTGAGTTTAGGAATAAAAAAGGGGCAGTCACATGACTAGGACAATACTGTGGATAAGCCCCTCAACCCAAAATAGTGAAAGGGAGATGGAACAGCATATATGTAAACAAATTTCTGGGTGTAGGAATAAAAGGGCAATAATAGAAAACTTCTAAAAATGGACAAGTGAGTGAAGTGACAGTAGGCGACCATATCGTGAGACAGTGACCACTATGCGGTCAGCGTTCGTAGTAATATGGAAAAGGACAGAGATAAATCTGGAGGACAAGTTTCAAACTGACAGAAGGCAAATTTTACAAATCTGTAAAGTGATTTGACTGAGGTGGACTGGACAGGACTGCAAAAGGATAAATCAGTGGCAAACCAGTGGGAGGCACTAAAAAGTGAGATCCTTAGGGTACAAAGCAGACATGTCCCCTCCAAAAATAAAAATGGTACTGCCAAATCTCAATCTCCATGGTTATCTAGAAAAATACAGAGGAAGATTAAACAGAAAAAGAAAGCTTATGATAGTCACAAAAACTCAACACTGCAGTTAGCCTAGAGGAGTATTGAAAGTACAGGGATCCTTTTCAAAAAAAAAAAAGGAAATCAAAGTGAGGGCATGAAAAAATATTAACAAGCAAGATGAAGGAAAACTCAGATGTTTTACCAGAATATAAAGAGCAGAAAGATACTTGAGGAAAAAGTGGGACCTATCAGAGATGAAGAAAGGAATTTGTCTGAAATACGAAGCATGTGGGAAGAATTTTAAAAGGTTTTTTTGTCTTTGTATTCACAAAGGAAAGAGACGATGTGGATATAGTAATCCAAGAGGAGTGGTGTGAAATATTGGTCAAAGTAATAGTAACAAGAGAGGAAGTGCTGGAGGAGTTGGAATCCTTGAAAGTGTATAAGTCGCCAGGACTTGTTCCCTTGGATTTTGAAAGAGGTCAGGGAAGAAATAGCAGATGCTCTGAGGATCTTCACTAGACGCAGGTGAGGCGCTGGAGAAATGCAAGTGTGGTTCCATTGTTTAAAAGAAGTATCAAGGAAATGACAAATAGTTGTAGGCCAGTTAGTCTTATTTCGGCAGTGGGCAAATTGTAGAATCAATGCTGAGAGATCGGATAAACTGTGACTTAGAAAGGCGTGAATTAATCCGAGTGTCAGCCTGGCTTTAAGGGAAGGAAATTTGATTGAATCCCTTGAGGAATGACTAGAAGGATTGATGAGGGCAGTGCAGTGGATGTTGTCTACATTGATTTTAGTAAGGCATTTGACAAGCACACAAAAAGTCAAAAAGTAAAAACCCATGGGAAGCAGGAAAATGTGTCGAATTGGATCCAAAGTTGGCTTAGTAACAGGAAACAAAGGACAATGATCATTGGTTGCCCTTGTGAATAGAAAGTTGTTTTAAATGGTGTTCTGCAGGGTTTCGTATTTGGACCTATATTATTTGTCTTGTATATTAATGATTTGCACTTGAATGTGGAGGACACAATTGGGAAATGTGTAGGCAACACAAAAGTTGGCTGTGTAGTGGGTAGTGTAGAGGATGGCTGTAAGCTTCAAAATAATTTGGATAGAGTGGGCAGGAAAGTGGCAGATGTTGTTCAATTCTGATAAGTGTGAGATAATGCATTTAGGAAGACCAAACAATAAAAGTGAATACACAATAAATGGAAAATACTGAGATGGATCGATTGAAGTGGGAGATCTTGGTATGCAAGTGCATAGATCCCTAATGGTAGCAGTACCGGTAGATAAGGTTGTAAAGAAGGCATATGGAATGCTCTCCTTCATTGGCAAAGGTGTAGAATATGAAAGTAGAGATATAATGATGAAACTGTTTAAGACACTGGTGAGGCCACAGCTGGACAGTTCTGGTCACCACATTACTGGAAGGATGTAATTTCTCTGGAGAGAGTACAAAACAGATTTCTAGAATATTGGCCAGGGTTGGGGAAATTGTAACTACGAGGAGAGATTGCAGAGGGTTGGGGTTTGCTTTCCTTAAAACAGAGAAGGTTGAGGGGTGACATGATTGGGATATACAAAATTGTGAGGGGTAGAGAGAGAACAGACAGGAGGAACCTGTTTCCCTTGGCAGAGTTTAAAAAACAGGGGTCAAAGATTCAAACTAAATGGTAGAAGGATTAGAGGAGACATGAGGAATTTTTTTTTTCTACACAGAGGGTGGTAGATATCTGAAATTCACTGCTTGAGTTGTTGGTGGAGGCAGAGACCCTAAACTGTCAAAAAGTACCTGTATTTGCACCTTAAGTACTGTAAGCTGCAGGGCTATGGACTGTGTGCAGGAAGATGGGATTAGAAAGGGCATCAGGGTGTCTTTGGGTTAGCATGGACAAGGTATGCTATATCATTTCTGTTGTTATATGGCTGAGGTTATCCTTCTCGACCTCTCCACTAACCTGCAGTGTGATGATCTTCAGGCTAAACCACCACCGGTTGTGTGTCTCTAATGAGAGAGCCCTATAGGACTAATTTCCAATAGGGCTATGGTGACTTTACCTATTTCTAACTTTATGAATGACACCAGACTTGTTGGGGATAAGGAAATAATACAGAGGAGGAATGCATACATAACAAGACATTAATAAACTTGTACGATGGGTAAATTATTAATGAATGAAATTCCACACGGATACTTGAGGCAGTATATTTTTGGAGGAAGAATAGAGAAGGCACTTATCTGGAAAGTGAGACACTTAGGAGGGACAGAGGAAAAAAGAATCTAACTAATCAAACACTAAAGGTTGTGTCACAGTTAACAAGACTGCAAACAAAGGTTTTGTTTCTAGAGAGAAAATTGAAAAGTCAGGAAATTATTGCTAGACCTTCATTGAACTTTAGAGCACTAAGTACTGCCTGCAGTTATGGTCACCATTTTTTTGAAAACCAAGCTTTGAAGAATACAAAGTTTTACATTCAGGAAAATAAACAATAAAGTTAGTAAATGAGCTATGCTGGTCTGATTCATCTTGTATCCTCCAGAATGGAAGTCCATCATGACCAGGAAGTTCATGATTTTTTTTAACTAGCTTTTACTTCTGGGTATAGACTGCTACCAGAAATATGTGGCTATATATTACAGCAAAGAATTGACTGGCAGGGAATGTCTCCTGAGAAAGAAAAGATGAGGGATACCTAGTGTCTATCCACATTTGGAAAGAATGAATATGGAGGGCTGATTTTGTTTTAGGGGTAAAATATTAGCCAAAGGTATAAGATAGTTACCAACAAATCCAAAAAGGAATTCAGAAGAAACTTTATCCAAATAATAATAGGAGTGTGGAACTCTATATTATAGGGAGTGGTTGAAGCAGATAGTATAGATGTGCTTAAGAGGATGCTAGACATGTATACAAGGAAAAAAAGAATAGACTGTTACCATGATAGATTTAGGGGAGGCGACTCAAATGGAGCATAAAGATAGTCATGGACTGATTTGGCAAATGACCAGTTCCTGGGCCTTTCATATCCTACATAACCTCACTGGTAAACATGACAAGCAGGAAAAACCTGATGTGTTGAATTCTTTTTGTGATCTTAGTAGTCATAAAGGTGAAGAAAGGTAGAGCATTCTATTTTATACTTTCTTTCATGGCTCCATAATATAACAATCCAATTTTTAAATGAAGGATAATAAGTGTCTTAAGTACTTGCGATTTCTTAGAATATTTCCCTGCACATGGTGTTGCCAGCTTGTATTATCACCCTATTTCAAGTATGTTTATCAAAATCATTTCAGAACCAAATGTTTCAATATTTTTTAAAGTTTTCACACAATGCATCTTGTGGTCTTTTCTGAGTTTTGAATTAAGGGTAGTGTTGGGCTGTTTCCTTACCTATTAGGAACTGGATCAAGACTCATTTATTTTCCTTTGGATCCTTAGTGCTATCAAAAGGTAGGCGTTCATTTTTATTGGGCTGTGTCTGAACCTAGATTGCAGAACCTGAAGGACTTACAAAGTGAATAATGTCTCCATTTCGCATGCTTATGTTTTTCTACATTTATCATCATCCATTAAGAATGAAATTGATGTTTTATGTATCTTTTTCTCTTTTTATAAACAGATCATGGCAAAAGCAGACGAATTATAGAAACCCAATTGGGAGACTTTCTTGTTTTTTTGCGACGTGTTATCTCCTTCAAAAATGTACAGAGCAATATTGTTTCTGTGAAATGGATTGATCCACTTTTATTGATAGCTACACAGATGCATGAAACAGGTGAGATGGTGAAGTACACATCTAAGCTAACAATGACCATATGTAAGTAAAATTGAAAAGTTTGAGTGAGTTATTGTAGAAACATTTATTTAGTGGAGTAATTTTCATTAATATTTTAATATCATTTATCATTAATCTGAAAGGTGCTTTCTTCATTACAAGTCAAGTTAATAAGCAGTAACCATATAACTAGTTTCAGAAAGTCAGCAAGTATTGGGCATCACGTGAAGAGTTGGTCCAATAGTAAATTCAAGAAAATGGTTCCCGTATAATTGCAAAATAGGCAACTAATTTGGTCAGCATGGCTGTGGATTGCATTTATGAGTGAATCTGTGTATATTTACAAATGTTAATTTTTGTAATTTAGTGAATTGTAACAGGATTAGTAATATCAATAAATCAAAAAAAGCTGCAAAATTGTAATTTAAAGCCTTTGGCATTTTTAAATGTTTTCATGTCCTGTGATAGAGTCATAAAATCATGTAGCATGGAAACAGACCCTTGCGGTCCAACCAGTCCATGCCAAACATAATCCGAAACTAAGCTAGTCTCACCTGTCTGTTCCTAGCCCATATCCCTCCAAACCTTTCTTGTTCGTGTACTTATCCAAGTGTCTTTTAAACATTGTCACTAAGCCCATATCCACTACTTCCTCAGGAAGTTCATTCCACACTCAAATCACCCTCTGTGTAAAACATTTGCTTTTTTTTAAGATTTTTAATTCTCTCTCTCTCTCCTCTCATCTTAAAATATGCCCCCTAGTCTTGAAATCCACCATCCTAGGGAAAAGACACCTACCATTAACCACATGCCTCATGATTTTGTAAATCTCTATAAGGGCACCTCTCAATCTCCAGCGCTACATTGAAAAGCACCCTAGCCTATCCAGCCTTTCTTTATATTCCAAACCTTCCGTACCTCTTCTGAGCCCTTTCTAGCTTAACAATATCTTTCCTGTAACAGGCTGATCAGAACTGGACACCGTATTCCAGAAGAGGCCTCGCCAATTTCCCAATGGA